GGAGCTTATCTGCCTCAGCCAGGCTTCTGTCAGTCCGTGCAGGACACGCGGCTCTTCCATCACAGCAGGCAGCTAGCAGAGATAACAGCCTGTGGGACCTGATGTGCCTCAGCGACTGCAGAGCTGCCACCAAACAGATCCCAGGTGTAGGGAGAGGCCCAGAGAGGACGGATGGACCAGCACAGCAAAGATGCTTTTACTCCAGCTCACACTCAGAGGTGAAATGACAAGCACTGGGGTACAAGGGATTTCTTTTCCAAGAAGGATCTTTGCTACCACTAGCTTGGCTGCCAGAACAAGTCCCTGCAGGCTCTAGGTACCACCACATCCAAACTGGGCCACACACAGCAAGCCAACAGATCTGTACACAGTGCAGACTCCCTCACAGGAGAGAAGCACCCACACTCCAGGAGTTCTGCCATCCATCACTCCACCATGATGCAGGTGAAGAATAATCAGAGTTCTTTATTAATGGTCTAGGCATAGCATCATCTACCACCATTCCCAGGGAGAAATCAGCCTTCAGACAGCAAAGCTGCTGTCCCCGGATGATTGTGGCCCAAGCTTCCTGAACTTCTCAGGCTTTGCTGCCCCTTGCCAGGCAGCTCTGCCAGCCGTACAGCTGCTTCTGCATGTGGTTAAGCAATGGAGCACACGGAACCACAACAGCTCCACTGACATTCAGGAGGCACAACGCAGTGGGAGGGCTCCCCAGCCCCCAGCCCAGCACACATGCCTTGGGCTGCATCGCCTTGGGGTGACCACACCACTATGAGGCTGAGAAACTCTCTCTTCCAGGTGCTGAGCAAGGTGGAAGAAGAGTTTGAACAGCAGCCTGGCTGGATCAGAGCAGTAGGCACCCTGCATGTTCCTTCCCAAAACAAGGTCCTCCATTGTTAAGCCTCTCCAGAACTCTCTGGCCCCTGCAGGGATGAAAGGATGGACAACCACCACCCTCCCAATCACACAGATCACACAATACAGCAGGGCTAGCAAAGACTTCCCTTTCCACTCTCTTTAACCACTCTCACTCAGCTGTGGGCTTCACCTGTCAGGCTAGGCCCCTGGTTAAAACTGCACCACCCAGCTCAGAAGCAGGGTATGGAGTCATGCCAATGAGAGCTTCTCTGGCACTGTCTGCTGTAAACTGACATTGTCAAACCAGTGGAACTGACACTCTATTTCAGCTGGACTTGAATCTTAATTCAACTTTAGTGAATGGAATAAGGTCATTTTGGTTTCAGAAAGTCATACAGCCTTTAGTGCTGCTCTCAGGTTCATTTTGATTCACACCTTCAGCTATACTGTAGGACTCTTCCCTCACATACCAATGGTCTCCTACAGCTACACACCCAAGTGAAACATTCAGATGATGCAGCAACCTGTGCTAAACAAAGCAGCTAAGGGTGAGAGTAAAAGCAGCAAGAATGAAAGGAAGGAAACGAACTTAGAGGTGCCACCTAATTTCTGACCAAATAGAAATAACTGGAATAAAGTTGCCCACAAAAGTACATCAGGCCTCCTCACTAGTCTCCCCTTCACCCTCCAGAAAGAAGAGTAAGTGCCAAGAGACAGACCCCTCCACGTCCAGCCCCAGGGACAGTTGACCAGAAGAAACCTCTCCAGTCTGGGTCCTCAAAGATGTAAGGCAGGATACGGGTGAGGAGCCGGCAGCAGTTCAAGACGATTTGCCTCTCCTTCTCTGTGTGGCAGCCACTCTCTGCTCCCTGCACCAGCTTTTCCACAGCCTGAAGGAAACAAAACCAAGGCAGGCAGCATTAGCCCAGACACAAGTTACCAAAAGCTGGGCAGGTCCAGCCTGCTGGTGACGCCCTCAGGTAGAGTTACAAGCAACATGGAGCTCATTTTCAGCAGCGCAGGCGGTGCTGCCGTTTGAAACACTGCAGAAACAGAGTTAATGATCTTATACAGACCTGGCTGAATTTCTGCCACGCCACTGCAAGAAACCTCACACACCAGGGCTAATCCATGCAGCACACGTGTCGTGCCATGTGAGACAAACAGCTACAGCACCAGGAGGCTCCGTCCAGCACAGCTCCATGACACCACACACTGCACGGAGCAGATCAGATGAATCAGGCACATCCAGCCCAGGAGATGCAGGCAGGAGCGAGGCACTGCCAGGGCAAGGCTGGATGGACACACACAAAGCCTGACAGATCTGTACGTGCTGTTGACACTACAGCAGGGACCTCTCTGACTCAGAAGGTGGCAGCTAAGCTGCTGCCTGTGACTATTCAGAGGAGATGGTCACTGGGGGCTTCAGAATAGGACGTGGGTCTTGCCAGGCAGCCACCACAGCCCTGGGAGGCAGTGGCAGGAGGTTCTACCCACAGGCAGAAAAGAGCAGATCCTACTCCAGGCAGCTGCACCCACTTGCTCTTACTGTCTGATCCCAAGGGGAAAGAGAGGGGAATGAAAGCAAAAACATTCACCAAGGATTCACCTTGCTGCTTTTTTAATTCATGAGGTCATGTGCCCCTGCTTATTTCCCCAGCAGACTGTCTGGGTCACTCTGCCAGCCTGCGTCATTGCCTTAATGGGTATTTAAATGCTGTTGGCGTAGTCTCAGTCCCTCCACATGCTGCTCTGTGACTGAGCTTAACTATTTTTTCAGGCACATTTATGACTGTACATTGAGTCTCCAGACATGTCTGCAAATGGCATTTCAGCCACGCTGCTGTGCTCCCCACAAACACACAGCATCGCCAGGTTCAGTGGCACACCACACATGGCACAGGTCAGGGCCCTCAGCCTGGCAAAAGCACTGCAGGACTCTCCAAGCTTCTCCAATCCTGATATCCCAAGATCCAGGGCTCCTGGATAAATAGCCCTGCAGTCACCAGGTGTCCCAACACATCTCAGGGTGAACAGCCCTTATTTTAGTCTGGCTTTGGGGGGAAAGAGGACACAGAGTCAAATGGGTTGTACAGTCAGTACAGGTCTCCCCAGCTCTTCTCTATTCCCAGGCTGCTGATCATCAGAAACCAGGAGACAGCACTAGGGAAGAACCATTCCATGTTTCCTCATTTTTGTATTCTTTTTCAAGTATCCACTACAGGCATCTGTCTGAGGCACAATTCCCAGTCAGAGGTACCTTCAGGATGACTCAGTAAGACTCATTCACATTTTGTAGAGCAGGAAAGAAAAACAGGATGGCAACAACCATTTAAAACCAGGAAAATGCCATATTCCAGATGTTTCCAATACTACAAATTCAAGGCTACTCTTTGGATGGCACAAATCAGGAGTAGTATTAACACCTGCAATTTCCCAGAACAAGCCTCAGGCTGTTGCTCACCAGCTTGACAATTTGCCAGACCTGGCAGGGTAGGAAATGCGAGTCCACGTCCCTTGTGCTCCAGACAAGGACATGGCAACACCAGAAGCAGCATCAGGGATGTTCTGATGTCACAGCAGAAGGAAATAAAGTGTTAATGTCTCCCTCAAACTTCATCCACGTGCTTGCACAGTGACAATCTCCACATGTCTTTGGGAACTACCAGCTTGAAGCCAGACTGATGCATGGTGAAGAGCAGTTAAGATGCAGACAAGGAATTGGATGTACCAGTCTAGCCACAAATATGCAGCCTTGGTACAAAGTCCCTAAGGGACTTATACAGCAGGCAAGACCCAAGAGGGCAGAGTGAAACACAGGAAGGGAGCAAGAGGAAAAAAGGCTCACAAGTGAGCAAATGCCAGCTCTGGTCTGTGCCAAAACAAGAGAGGATGGGCTGAGAGTTGCCATCAGCAGTTAGGGACAAGCAAGTACATCAATGCAGTACCAGGCAATAATATGGTACCTGTCTCCCCTTGGGAGCCATCAGGCTATTGATCCAGGGACACCCCCTTACTAGCACAGTGCCAAGGAATGACAGCACCAACCTTACCTTATAACACAAAGTCGCCAAGTTTGAAGGCGATTCTTCCCTCACTGCTCGGATCTCTGCAGCTGGCACAAGGGCAAAGACATCCTGCACTGACGTGGCTGTGTCTGCCCAGAACTGGTCCCAAAAGGCATCATCTGTTGCCTCCACAGGCTGCGGAGAGACAAACATGGTTACAGGTGCAGAACTACCATTCCATGAGGTCCAAACTTCAGCGACTATGCCTGGCTTGGGGGTGGGACCAGGCAGAGAAGAGGTTCAATAAAGCACACTGGTGCTGGTTTTGTACCTCAGTCTCTTTGTTAGCAGGTCTTTGGCCAATTTCACCTCCCAAAAAGAGCATTCCCTCAGCAAGGGGGTGAGCAGCAACACATTTATATGACCAACTGCAGCAGACTGTGGCCCCCTCAAGTCTTTCATGAAGTCACAACATTCATGAACCCTCCTGCTTGTCTCCAACCTAGGCCATGTATTACAAGATCTTTCATGCATGGCCAGGCTCCTCTCATGTGCTCTGTCACCTTCAGAGCATGCCAAGGATGCCCTGAGTGGGCACTGGAATTACTTCTATTGCAACCAAAGTCTTGAGGAAGCAAACAGGGACTTATTACATTAGGGCATGAAGAGAGCCACAGAACTGACAGACTCACACCAAAGCACTTACAGATGCAACAGAATTGATCTTTCTGAATCAAATATTTATAGGGAACTGGACTCAGTGGAGCTGGTCGCTGCCAAGGCTTTGTTCTTAAAAAGCACTAAGTGTAGAATTCAAAGACGCAAGATGGAAGGAGGAGACTGATATACCAAAAAAAGCAAGCCATGTGAGACCTGTGGTCTGAGAAGCCCACCCCCCACATGCCTGGGAACACACCTCTTCCCATTACCTCTTCCAGCTCTGCAGGTGCAGACAACCTCCTCTTTCAACAACACTGTTGTCCCCTTTTTGAGCCCACCCTGAAGACCCCCTGCAAGGGTTGCTGGCCACAAGGATGGCCTGTTTGCCAGACTGCTGCTGCAAAGACAGCTCTGTACAACCAGCTGCAGCCTCCCAGCATTATCTCCCCCAGCTTCGTTCTGACAGCTTGGCATCTACTTAGAAATCAAAACAACAGTGGCACCCTGGGGTGAGAGATTATAGGCTACTGCAGAGCCAGAGAGCAGTGCTGGCCACACAGGGTGAAGCAGAGGCCCAGATGCACAGGGCCAGTGGTGCGTCCAGTCATGAGGAAGTGAGCGCAGCGATGAGCCGCCGCTCCCCAAAAGGTGAAAGCACCAACACTGTTTGCCTAACAAGAAGGCATTGCCACTACACAACACCTCAGGCACCCAAAGCCTGGGAGCTCGGAATAATCAGGAAGACTTAACTTTTCAGCCAGTCTAAAACTGAGCACAGTCTTCCCCTCTAAATGCCAATACCTGTCAAGAGGTAGGCACGGTCCAGTGGAGGCTAGGAGTGCTCATCAGCTCCAGGGGCCAGCTACAGGGGCGGGATAAATACACGTGTACTTCTGCCAAGCGGTGTGAAAGAGGCAGATCCACGATTTCAGTCAGGAGTGCAAAGTGGAAGCTTCTCCCCAGGAGCCTGCCAGCCGTGCCAGGTGAGGTGGCACGCTCAGCAGGTGAGAAGAACCATCCACCTGAGCAGTGCCGGCACCTGAGGGAGCCGCAGCTCTCGCGAACCCCCACAGAGGGCACCGTGGGCGGGTCTGCCACCTCCGATGGGAAAGGGGCAAAACCAGGAACGTGTGTTTAACTTCAACAGCTCCTGCCCACCCCCAGCTCTGCTGGACTACGCAGAAAACATGCAGCTAAGTTGAGGCTCCGTGGGGAGAACAGCTCATTCATGGCTCTGGAACAGAGAAGTGCAGCATTTCCCCCTTTGCTATCACCTCCTGAACTAACAGCCACAGTCTGGGAGCAGGTGACGTGTCACTACCACCCAGAGGCCAAAAGGTGAGAGGGGCAGGCAGGCTGGCAGCCCCAAACTGGTATAGCAGGTTACTGCCCTGCAGCTCTCCACCTTAACGCTCCAGAGGCTGTTATTGCTTGTCCTGGTCCTTCCAGCCACAAAATGAATCAGCCCAAGTGACTCCCCAGTCTTTTTGAAGAAAAAACAAAAACAAACAAATGAAAAACAGAAAACAAAAACCCACGTGTTTTTAGGCATCTTCTTAAACTCTGCTCCAGTGCTGAAACCTTCTTTATTTTATCACTTGGCCACCAAAGCAAGTTCCTAACAAACCTCTTTCCAAGGGTACACCAACTGTTTTGAAATGGTTCAAGGTCACAGCTCCTCAGAGGGGATCTGTAAGAACAGCCAGGTGTTTACAGCCTGACTCTCAGCTTCCCGAGTGTGTGAAGGAGTTGTGCTCTTTGTAACCTGGGCATGAAATACTTAAATGGAAGCAGAGCTACGCTGCAAATCTCACCTTAATTACGTTCCTCAGAAACAGCCAAGTATTTGAAAACCCAATCTATGCAATGCACAAAACGTCCTACACTTCCCATACCCCCCTTCAAACCACAACCGCGTGTATAATTGCCACATGTACCTGCTGGCTCCCTGCCACAGCCGCTCCCAACAACAACAGTGAGCGGCAATTGCTGCTAATTGGAGATAATGCATAAATAATGGCTTCACTCTCATCTAGAGGGGGAGCAGAAAACCATTTCCCTCCCGTAGACACGGATCCCTTTACCTCCCAGTAGCCCGAGGCCACCTCGGAGGTTGAACCCAGCTGCTGATTTACAGATGGGAACACAAGAGCCAAGACTGAAGAACACGGTCTCTGGCTAGAACAACACAGAGGCAGAGAAGCAGAGCAGCAATCACCCAAGCTGCAGCCACATTAATGTCACTGCTGCCATCTTGGCAAGGGGATTACACTAAAACACCAGTTCTTTTATTTTTAATAGCTGCAGCAATCAGCTCCTCATCAACAGATGGTATCCCGTGCACAACCTTGGGACACGGACTCGGTACTGAGTCACTCCCATCCCCACAGCCCCCCCTGCTCTAATTAACAGTCTGGCATCATGATGATGGCTACTCCATCTACATAATATTCATCTCCTTGATAGAATATTACTAGATGTTTTTAAGCTGATTGTATTTTGCACGCAGCATCCCTGGGGATCTAAACATCCATTTCCTCTTGCTGAGCTCGCCCAACAGCCTGTACTGAGCTTACAGGGAAGGGAAACAGAGACCTAGAACAGTCTTGCTCACCAGCCATGGATATCTTCATCTGGAAACGTCCAGATTTAGTTACAAGTGTTGGTACAGCACATGCTGCAGTAACAAATCCCACAGCACTGCAGCGAGCTGACAGTGTTTTAACCAGAAGAGTTCTTGAGAAGCTGAATCCTAGCTGGGGCCACTTCAGATCCTCCAGATCAGCACAGATCTGTCCTCTTTTGGAGAAGCAGCTGCAGCACAGTTAAGAGCCTGATGTTCCACCAGCACAGTGCAGACAACCAGCACTGCACCAGCAGTGCAATGAGAATGAGAACTTCATCATTGCTGGAAGAACTAAGGGATCAGTAGCTCAACTCTACTTTGGAAACACAACCAGCATATCTGGAGAGCAAAGGAAGTTCCTGGCACCCCACCGTAGAGGCCACTGAAGTTATAGAGCTAACTGGCAGAGAGAAACACTGCTGCCTGAGCCAGGCTCTCCACAGCAAAGGCATGAGCTGACTGTAGCACAGAGCGGCTGCTGAGAGCACCACGGGAAGAGCAGAGGTGATGTGACCTCTTAGAGTGGAAAAGGAGGGAGACTGTTGCCTTCAGCTCACTCGGGCAAGGTGTAAAGCCCTCCCACCTGCACACTAGCCGTACGAAGTGGAACCAGTCCCACCAGACACCTCTACCCTTTATCTCCCATCAGTCAAAAATGTTGTGTTTCAGGTTCTTTAAAGCACACCACACACACACGCACGCACGCTGTAGGAGTCAGAAGAGGAGGATGCTCCATTTGCAAGCATCTTGGCAGTTGCTGAACAGAGAAGCCCAGCCCTGAACAGGCGATCCCCAGGCAAACAGGATACGTCACGGGAAACGGGAAACCCGAGCGGAGCTGCCCACGGCCCATAAACAGGAAAAGGTCCCAAGGCACGGCCCTCCTTGGTCGTTACTGTCCTCAGCCTGACGCCAGCACCACTTTGCTCCTCTGCTAGCTACAACCCCTCACACACTCAGGCAGGGCGAGCTCCTCCCGACCCAGAGCTCTCTACATTTACACTGAATCCCTGTTCCAAACAGTTTCTCCAACAGGTTCTTACCAGAGGACTGTCCTTAAGTCAGTTCTGAGGTTGCTGCAAATTGCCAAGGGGGCAAGCAGCCACCAGTCCCACTCACCATAGTCTGGTTTTGCTTCTTGTCACCACAGCAAGCGAGCACCCCAGCAGCCAAGGCAGCGAGGCATTCCGGGCAGGGCTTCTCTTTTTTCTGGGACTTGACAACAGAGCAGGTCCCTCGTCCCTGACCAGGGTTTCTGGCCAGTATTACACAAACACAAGTAATATGTAACAGCAGCGTGCTCCTTTCCACCCCAAGTGAGGCAGAACTGTGGGGTGTCACGACCAGAGAGCCATACATGCAGCACCTGACTGAGCTGCAGGAGGTCAGGAAACCCTGCGGGGACAGTGGATTAGTTTGAGGCAATTCACACACCTTTGTACTAGACCTTTGTGAGCCACTGTGCAAAAGGAAAGTCTGAGGACAGATTTATTCAGAAGAGGAACAACTAGCGAGTTTTCGCCTCTGCCTCCAAGGGCAGCAGCTCCACATAGATTTCAGAGCAATGGCCTTTTTTTCTACAGGATCTTTGCAATCAGCAATGCAGAATCAAGGAGAGACTCCATGTGAGTCTGCTGCCAGTTCTCTGCTACCAGACAGTGTTGCAAAGGGAACTGGAAAATAGAATTTGTAGAATTCTGGCGAGGAAAGCCTAGGACACAAGTCAGCTGTGTGCAGTGCTGGTTGCAGCTTTGCTTTTAAGACAACTTTGCTTTTGATCAACCTGGAACACCTGAGTCCAGTCTGAGTTCTACCAGGAACAGGCTACCAGAAACCAACCTCTCTGCAAGCACAAGATGTACTTTTAACAGGCTCAAATGAACAGCCTGTTGTACTACAGCATTTCCAC